ATATATATATATATATATATATATATATATATATATATATAAAGTATTATTTTTTTTTATTTAATTTTAAATGTTATTCCTTCAGAAACCTCTTGGATGTATCGTGAAGAAATTTCCAAGATACGAAAACATGTAATCTTATAAAGATGAAAGAATAAAACAATCGATCAATATGATACAACAAAGATGTCAAATTCAAGAACTCGACGCGACAACACGCATTTTAACGGTTGGAAAAGCAATATATAGATATGGAAGATCTTGTCGCGGCGCGACAACACGAAGATGATTTAGGGATTGGAATTGGATGGAGAAACTCAATGGAGTACGGGAAAGTCTCACTTCGACTCAAGAGTATCAGGTACGATAACAAGGGTGGACTGTTCAAGAATAGAACATTGATACTCATAATCGCTTACTTTGTTTGTTCAGCCTCTCCACGGTGTTCTGAATGTGATGAACGAAGTTAAGGTATTCCTTAGTAGTGTAATCGATACCCTCAATCTCTGGTATCGCCATCAGGCACTCGTCCGCCATAAAGGGCGCGTTCTCTGGCGACGCCGCAGCGAGCAAAGCCGACGCCATCGTGGTACCGACACCCTTCAGATTCGAGAGGGCAGTGATCGCCTGTTCGAGATTCGGAAGCTTCTTGAACGCTTTCTTCGTCTCCGCCATTACGGCACGCGGTGTGTTCACCTTCACCAGATACGACAGCTGTGGATAGAACTTCCCGCGCTGAAACAAAATGGCGGTCAACATCGCGGAATCCGCTTGGATCCTGGATCGATTCAAAGCTGCGGTAAGCTCTTTTCATCGAAATATCCTCGCATCGTTATTGTGCACGAATTGTCAGCGACTGATATTTGGGGAGAACTAAAGACGGTAACTTGATTCCATTAAGTCCACGACTCTATGACTTTTGCAATTAAATTGTCGACAATACGACATACGAATATTATATTTTCGATTTAACAAACACTTACACACTCTAATAAAAAAATATTTGATAATTTACTTGTGGTGCATAAAATTTATTCATAGAAATAAACTTTATATTCCACAAATAATTTTCAAATATTCTTTTCTCAGTGTGAGAGCCATGATTACATTCTATGTTCCTACTTCCTCTCAATCATACGTATCAATTATAAAAGGAAAAACAAGAGATGTATCCCTACGATATCCTTTCCAGACCAAGTTCTATCATGATTTTGCTGGACGTAATCGAAGCCAATTATAAAAAAGGAATTCGATTCCTGCGACATCATTGTAAGATCAAGTTACTTTGCCACCTTGTCAAATGCAACCAAGATTAATCAAGATCATCAATTGTCTGACTCGATCCAGTATCCGGGGTGCATTTTGTTCGGGTTTGGGCAAGCTACGCGACACGGACAGCCGTCGCACAAACGAGAAGAGATGGGACTTACTATTTGTTTCCATTTCATCGTCTGCACCAGCTCCTCGTGATTAAGATGCGCGTCCTTGCCGCGCGACTTTATCTTCTTCGGAAGCTCATTCTGGTACCTGCAGGCATAAACAACAAGATCTAGACGATCACGATTAATCCAATCGCGCGCATGGCAGAGGGACCAGAAACACGCGTGCACACACACACACACATACCCACTCACATCTACACTCACATACACACCCACAGGTACGCAGGTACCAACGCACACGCCTGCGAGCGTGCACACACGAACGGGCGGGCGTGACGTAACCACGCCGCCACCGGTCGTCGCCGTCGCTGCGGAATAAAGGAGAATTCGTTAAAGGCCCATTAAAAATACAAACGTTGCCGCAAGGAGCCGACACGCCCCTCATCCACGATTGGAGGATACCCATCTTTATCGCGCACGTGGATCACACGTGGATGTGGTGCGACGTTGCACCGCTCTTGCGCCGTCGATCTCCACGCCGATATTATAAGCGCCGATTCGCGGGCCAGAGGCCCGAGTCGCGGAAGGTGAGCATTTGAAAGCTCAAGGTTCGAGCGAGCAACGGAAAGAGAGGTCGACAGGCAATGGTCGATATAAGTATCAAAGAATCGTCAACTATGCGACATTGTTCAATATTAATTTATCGATTTGCCTCTCTTTCTCTCACGTTATCGGCAATTTCGGATCACTGTGGAATAATTTTCTTCAATAAATCATATTTTTACGTATAGATTGACTTTAGATCTATAACTTTAAATATACTTGGAGAAGAAACGTCGTATATACTTTCCAGAATCACTGAAATTGAAGGGTAGAGGATATGATTATCCTCTGTGAGAGTTGTATCTTTGTTAATGATAATTAATTGAGCGTATAAGTTCAGCAATATTTAGTTTAAGCTTCGATGGAACTTGTTACACAGGAATTCGCGATAAATCTATATTTGTTGTCGGTAACACAAAGAACGCGATGAATTCTCCTGAGCTATATAGACAATATTGATCATTTTTCGTCATTGTAATACACGCTTCTCGAAAGAATTGAAAATATGTACCAGACTGCGTGCTTTTGTCCGTAAGAGAGGAACAATAAAATGCTAGATAACAAATTCACTTTTAACAAGAATTATCAAATTTGCACGTACCACTTTTCGAAATCGAGAAATTCTAAGAACGAATGGGAATTGCATTATTTGGCCGAGTGTACCTAAAATCTTTCGTTAAGACCATGAAACATCGTTTGAATACACATTTCCTCATCCGCATAAGCCTACAATGAGAACTTGATCCATTAAGACTTAAGCTTTAAGCCTAAGAAGTTGACTAATCACAGTCGATTATTTTCCTCATTTGACTGTGATTGGTCTCCTTACGGCTTAAAGCTCAAGTCTTATCGCTCAAGTTCTCATTGTAGACACCCGCTTTACGCACTCCAACGCGCGCGGAGCTTTTCAGCGTTTTCCATAGTGGCCGAGATTGCGTTAACAAAGTCGGGAAAAAAGGAAGAAAAAAAAACACGCGTGCCGCACCACGTAATATCACGTATCCGCACGGCTTGGCACCGTGGAAAAGCAGCCTTGACACAAACTGGCCTCAATGGGAATGAAAACAACGGTATTCCACTTCCCCTGACCCGCGCCCTCGCCCGCGCGCTTCTGCAACACGGAAGAAACTAGCGCGTAAAGTCTTCCCTTCCTCCCTCACTTCTCCCTCGCTCCCTTTCACGTGTGTTCCTTGTGTCACTCCCTTTGTGTGTGTTCCTTGCTACAGCTCTCTTTTTCCCTCAGCTTTGTTTTGACATGTGCTAAGCTTGCACCACGATCGATAAAGCGACTCTGACCGATCGAAACACGTTTGTTCTCTTCAGTGAATTTTGCCTATAATTTATTGCTCTGCAAGAAAAAAGTTTATTTAGTGATGCGTTTATAACATCACGAAAATTTCTAACCGCTTTCTTAGAAAGTTATATATAGGATACTGGAATTTGGTTATCAAATTAACAAATTCTGTCAAAAATATTCTATTATCGAATCTCTATTATTTTCTGAGATAAGTTAACATCTTATATAAGTATTATTTTCTTTCGTTTTATGTGTAATTAATTTTTTTACATTGTTTATAACGCTGATATAATTCTTTTCGTTTGTAATAATGGGAATGCCATTGATGAAATTATTAACGTTTTATGACTAACATTTTTGCAAATTAATATTTTGTAACAATAAATTATATGAGTTATTTTAATTTTAATGAGATATTTCGATTCTACCATCCAAAAGTACAAATTTAATTCTTTCAAATATTGTATACTAATAAATTGCTTAGAATATCGTTATTTATAAATTAGTAAGTTTATAAATTTTTGAATATTCAAAATATTGGATTCTTAGATCCAAAGGTCCAAAGTTTTAAATGTCCCATGATCTAAGAATGTATCATTACTTCAAAAATACCAAAATCTAATATATCTCATCATTTTACAAACTATAACTTATGAATTTATCTGTAAATTCACAAATTTATAAACATACGATTCATATTTAAAATGAAGATTTTTGCATATTTAATTTTGTTTCTATACGAAAGAAGCTTATATATTGATTATTTCAACATTTCTAGAGGCTCACAGAAATTTCCAAAAACATCCAAAAACTAATAAGAATTATTATCACATAATCTCATTCTAAATATTTATTTGCTACATTTTCATTTGTTCTGATTTTTTTCACTTTTTTAAGAACTTTTTTCTTAAAAGAGCGCGTTCTTGTTAGAGTTTAGCGTACAACTTGCTACATATTAAAAAAACGGTATTTGTATTTCCGCATTGCTCGGTTTATCAATCATTGTGACACATCAATTGTCCCACATCAAGCTTTTACGCACACAATCAACGTTAAACGTCGATACGCCGTTTTATCGACATCGATAATTATGTCCATTCAAGTAAGCAAATAATTCTATTTACAAATGAAACGCATATTTACACGAGTACCGTATGTATACAATACAACATATAACTTGTGCAAACATCAATATATATGATTTTTAATAATTTTCACAAAACTTTATATTATATATAAACAAGTATAATTGCGATTGTCTTTAGAAAAAAAACTTATCAAAAACTTATTAAAAAAGAAATCCTTAGTCGTACTTTATCATAGTTTAAAATTACGTCGAATAGTTTCCAAGGAATAAAATGAAAAGAAAAAGATCCGTAGGCGGGCTTCGTACCAATTTAAGTCGCGTCAAGACTGAGAAGCAGTACGAAATCATAATAAAAAAATATAATTTATTGCTTTTAGAAAACAAAGTTGAAAAAAGAAATCTTTTTATTGTATTTTATATCAATCTTTAGTCATTAAAGTTATGTCGATAACCAAAATCAAAACAATGCAATTGATTGTTTTCAGAGTTGCATTCAAAACGTTCTTTTTGAAAAAAATTTTATTCATTACGTGTAATTCACGCACGTACTATAGAGTATCGAGTAAAATTTCCTCAAAAAGGACATTTTGGGTTGCATTCCTTCCCGAGGAAAATTTTATTCTTAAGTCTATAGCGTATGTAACATGAATTATAGATTTAAGAGTAAAATTTTCCTCGAAAAAGTTGTTTTGGAATGCAGCCCATAAAACAATGTAGCAAAAGAGATCTTAGCGTACTCGTAATTGTATCGATTCGGGGAGCCGTTAAAAGTGCGTCAAGTAACTCGAACGACAATAGTAGTAAAATAACAAGATCGTTTGTTCAGGAGACAAAATAGGAAAGAGAGAAGAGATCTTTGTTCGTGTGCTGGCTTCGTATCGATCTCTAGGCAGCCGTTAAAATCGTGTCGAGTAACTCGGACGACAACCCACCACCGTTGGCCAGATAGTCATAGCGCTCTCCTCATGTGTCACTCAGCTTCTCGTATTTTCTCGCTCGCTCGGACCCTCTCCGCAACGGAATGTCACTTTCGCGGTGCGGCCACGTGATACGAGTCTCTCCGCGAGTTCGCGGGGTGGTAATCCCCGCGATGACGTTTCGCCGTATACCCTCCGCGCGAGGGTGACATACGAGCGCGCAGGCGACGTTGCCGCCTCGTTCGCACTGCCGTCGAGTGCAGCGCAAAGCGGGTTCATTGTCCCGCGTGCGCCCCGTGGTAGCGCCGTTTCCTCCCTTGAGCCGTTGTAATGTTGGTCGGCAGCGGCGTTCGTCTCTCTCCATCTCTCTTTCTCTCTCCCTCGCTCTCTTGGCATGCGCAAGCGCATGCATCCACCACATACACACACAGTACACACGCCACACACAGAAATGACAGTGTATATAACGCGGTCGAGCACACACATACATACATTATCATCTTATGTACATACATACACACCACACATATACACCCCAGTAGAGTGTACGTGCTACAACTTACCAGTTGTCCAACTTGATCAGCTCCTCAGGCTTTTTCGTCTTTCGGTCGGCTTTCAGGCGCAACGCTTGCGGGTAAAGTTTGAGAACGTGTTCGAATTGCGCCGCGGTACCCTCCGCGAAGAAAGTCGCTGTGTCTTTCACGGAAGCCATTGCGATAACGCAGGCTTCGATCGACGGCCGTAGGAGCGCAGCACTAGCGCCGCCTGCTGCCGCTGCTCCGCAAAGCGCCGTGTCGTCCACCGTCCCGTTGCTACCGCCGCCGCCGCCGCCGCCGCCGCTGCTGCTGCCGCCGCCGCCGCTGCTGCTGCTGGCTGTTACCACCGCCGCCACCACGAGCGGCGTTGCCGTGTCTCCTCACCGAGGAATCTACTATATTTCACCCTCCGCGATTCCCTCACCGAGAGCGGCGCGAGTAAGCGCGGCGCGTGGGAAATCGATGACGGCTACGGTGCGATGCGGTGTGGGACCGTGCGACGGCCGACAACGTTGGCACTCTCAATTCTCTCGATTTAACGGAGAGAAAGAAAAAGAGGTGCGCACATATACACAGGCACACATGAACATATACACACTGCGGAGTGTCCCGAGAGAGAGACGTGTGTACGAATTGCTAGGATGAAACGAGTAAGAAAAAATACAAAGTCACTCGTGCGAGGTGTCTCTTGATCACGCGTGGACAGTACGACGGGTGGACGCGTACACCGCGTACGTACGAATATCACGAACGTCCTCGGCACTGCGCGATGACGACGTCCCGAAGCAAAATCACACTGTCAGAACTCGCTCTCGTACCCCGCTCGACACTGCTCGGCACTGGGCCCGGGTGGGGAGCCGACGCGACGTTGCCAATAGGCGGCAGCACCGCTCGGGTTGTGCCTCTATCCCCCTCGTGACTGCGCCTCGCTCCCACCACGTCGTTCGTGTCTGTCTCTTTCATACACTCATGCGCCTATATCCCGTCTATCCCCTTCTCCTCGTCGCTCGGCGAGGTATAGGTCTGTTACGCTTTCTCCGCCGAGTCGCTGTTCGTTCGTCTCGCTCCGACGCTATCTCTCTTGCTCCTACGACATCCGTATCTCTCCCACTCGATCGGCCCGATCCCCCGTCTCTGTCGCACGCCCGTCGAGTTTTCCTCCGGCGTCCTTTCCCCTCGCGCGAGCTGCCTCGGTGTGCGTATCCTCCTCTGGTGTGTTTCTCTCTTTTTCTTTCTCTCGCGCCCGTCCCGCACGCACTTACAGGCCGCGAAATTCGGTCGAATCGCGCGGCGACGTGCCTTCGACACTTTGTGCACTGTGTGTCGGAGGGGAGGCGTGAGGAGATTCAATGGAGAGGCTCCTTTCTCCCCGAGAGAACTGTGACGCGCTTCCTCTCTCTTCTTCTCACGGTGAAACGCTTGCTCTTCGTCTCTCCCCTCGTCCTATCCTTCTCTCTCTCTTTTTCTCTCTCTCTCGCTCTTTCGCTCTTCCTTCAACAATAAGCCGTATCAATGCGACAGCTCCTGTATCGTTGGTATCGCTCCTCATGTGCGTATCGTACGTACGTGCATCTGTCCGTCCGTTCGGCGGATGTCCGTGGCGATCTGACGTGATTCGCGTGCTTGCTGCCACTTCACACGACGCACGCACGCACACGCGACAAGTACATACGTACCTACGCACGTATCTATAGAAAGATCAGCGAGCGAGGTCCGACAATATTGTCTGGAGACTGTCGTTAGCTCGATTTTACTCGTATCGCCCAACAGGCGCGTTTCCACGTAAGCCAAGAGACTGAGGTTACGTCGCGCGACGACCGTCTCATCGACGACGGAACCACGGGACACGGCGATTGGCCGAGCGCGGCTTCTCTTTCTCTCTCCCGGGTTGCTCTCTCTCTCTTTGTCTCTCGCTTCTTTCTCTCTCCGCGCGCCTCATTCCCTCCCCATTTTATATATCTCCCCCTTTGCTCGAGCGTTCCTCGCTCGATGACGATATTCCTCTTTCTTCACGGGAATATCGCGGTGGACTCTGACGATATATCGCGCGCCGATAATCGCCGATACATCTCCGAATGCGTTGCTCTATCACCTTTGCTCTCTCGATCGGTACGTATATGCGAGATATATATGGCGTGTATACGGTGCGCTTGTGTGCGCGCACTGCGTGCGCGCGCACAACCCCGCCGCTTTCGTGCTCCGAAAAACGGGAACACAGAGAAAACGCACGCAGCTAGCTAGCCAGTCGGCCAGCCAATCGTTCGTCTCATCGCAGGCGTGCATGTGTATAGTCGTAGTAACGCGTCTCACCGACTGGAAGCAGCACCTCCGCTCGCCGTTGCCCCGCCCCGGTCCCCGTCGCCCGGTGACCCGTTCTCGACGAGTGAGTAAGCGAGCGAGCGAATATTCTCCCCCCTCTCTGCTCGCGCTCCCAGTCGCCATGTCTCCGTCAGCTGCGCACTACACCCCTCTCCTTGAGTGCTACACTGGAGAAGCAGTGAGGCGCAGCACCCAGGGATGAATAAAATAACACTTGATATTCACAATGAAAATTTCACTGTTGCTTCGTTTCACTTAAAGATGCAAAGATACACCCAGCATAATTGTCAAGTCAAATTTTTGCTCTTGCATCAAATTTGCAAAATTGTTATGTAATATTATGTTATTATTGTATACTCGTGATAAATGTTGGTGTCGTCACATCATTGTATAAGATTGCAAAAGCTCGGATTGACAAACTAAGATAAGCACTAGGAAAAATGACAATTTGTAAAATCTCTGCACATTAATATTTAAAACGAAATTGTCATATTTTTGTCACTGTGTTGTTTTGCTCTTCCTTCGATTTTCCTCATACATGTTTCTTCAGTGATAACAATCGAAGTGAGGAATAGATAAAGATTGGAAAAGGCTTATGTATCAAATATATAAGCGGATGTGATATATAGCAGAAGGCTCTCTCTCTTTCTCTCTCTCTCTCTCTCTCTCTCTCTCTCTCTCTCTCTCTCTGTCTCTCTCTTTTACCAGGGACGCATCCTTTGTAACGAATGTCCCGCGACGAAACGCCCGACTGTTTCTGGCAGCCGCTTCAGATTCTCGGAGGGTAAATTTTACGCAGCTGCGTTCGGATAGTACGCCGGTGTGCGCGTTTGTCAAGTTTCACCGTCGTCGTCGTCGTCCGCTGTAAGAGATAAAGACGTAGAGCGGCTAATGAGTCGAGTTCTTTTGAGACAGTCAGTAGGAACGCGCCGGAGGGTAATTTATCAAAACAACAGCGTGTCGTATTTTATTTAAACTCCCAAGTTGGAGGCTCAAATTGATCGTGCGACGGGCGGACGCGCCAATAACTTTGAAAATAATTTTCTTCTCCCATAGGAGAAGAGAGTACCGCAATTTCTTGCGAAAGGTCAAACCTGCAACACGCAACTTGGAAAGGTCAAAGATGCAACGTGCTGTAATTTTTAATAGAAAAATCAAGTTCAATAGAATGTAACTTTAATAATTTAAGAAATTTTAAGAAATCTCAATGATTGTTCTAGAACATTAGATGAAAGTGATATCGTAAAGTTCATTTCGTAAAATAAGTGATAAAAAAAGAAGGAAATACAGTTTATATAAGAGAAAATTTGTGGCAGCAATAAATTACCGATGATGCTCAGAAAGTTTAGAGACACCGTGAAACATTTCTACCAAGTTTCTAAAACTTTTTTCCAGCTGCATGACGGTACGCACTACACGCCAAGGTTGTAAAGCAGTCTAGACCTTCCACCGAAATATTTGTTCGGGCCGCTGCTTACTGTGCACCCCATGAATCCTTCTGAGAGAGTCTGTTCTTTGAGTCGCACGGTCAAAGTTATAGCGGAGAGAAGGGCCGTAAATGCGAAGGGAACATTCGTTTCCTCAGGAGCGTCCGCTTGTATACCCATGCCCCGCTCTTCGCGTGTTTCTTTCTCATTGGAGAATAATCCCGGTGCGTTGGGGCTATTGATAAATCTAAGGAGAGGCGTTCGCGCCACATATATGGACTGTCGCAGTGCGTGTGTAGCGATCGCTTTTTTAAAAACTGCGCTAATGCATAATATTTTTGCTTTTTCGTTCGTTAGACAGCCCCATCAAGCGGAGTGGAACGGAGCGAAGCGGAGAGAAGCGATTGTGTGGAATAGGCACACAGGCAGGCAGGCAGGCAGGCAGGCAGACAGCAGACACAGCACGCCGGGTAAGCTCCGCAACATGGCCGTCGACTCACCGTTATGCGCCTCGTGCCCCCTATACAAAAGAGAAAGGGCCGTCATACCGTGCCGTGCCGTGCCGCGGCGTTGCATCGCGCCGCGCTGCCCCCTCTGTCCCTCGGGCGCTTGAAATTCAATTCCGGCACTGCCGCGCGGCGCGCGCTGTTGCCAGATCACTCCTCGTTCTCCGCTCGCTCGCTCGCTCGCTCGTTCGCTTCCTCCTTCTCGCGCCACCGGCCGTTATCGAACGTTCGATTTACACCGCGTGGCGCGCAGCAAGATTTTCGTCTAGATGATTTCGCTCGGGAGAGACGCGACGACTTTGCGGAGAAAATTGCGGCCCGGGGACCGGCGTGACGATATTAATCAGCGTCACTTGTACTCTAGAATCTCGAGATGGTAATTTGTTAATACGATATGATGAAGTAGTACCATTAACACACCGCGATAACTACTCTCATGTCGAGAGGCTAATTCCTCTCGCATCGCTGTTTTGACATTTCTGATCGCGGAAGCGGAAAATCATGTTCATGTCGTCGCGGAAAGTTTTCAACTTGAGGAAACCTGTGTGGTGCATTTAACGTTAAATGCGTTCTGCGAATCCGACTCGCGGCTCGCATTTAATATGCTCGGACTTTATATTTTAATCGACTAAGAGACTTTAAATGGCATCAAATATATAAGTTATGGAACATCTTCAATCTATAAATTTACAAGAAATTAAATTACGAATATGGAGAACTTGTTGATAGAAATTATTTAAAAAGTAACGATTAGGAGGATTTGAAATTGTAACATCCACCCAATCTTCGGTCTTTAGGGAATACTTTTAAATCCGCTCAAGTTTCTTCCCTACATATATGCATTGCTTCTTATATATTCTTATCTATTCTCGTATCGCGTTGAAATACTCGTGCAACAACGGCGCGTGAAGAAACGTTAATCTTCTAACGAAACTACCGTACGCTAATGTAAATCTCTTTTCATTGTAGATCCAACATTTAGCGTACATTTTCACGTATAAGTAATGTCGCTGCATCGACAACAACGAGGGCATGAGAAGAAATCGAGCAGCTAGCAAGTCCCTAACCTCGACAAAGAATCATCGATTAGATCTCACAGACCGAAAATTCCAGCTGATTCCCCTCGATTCACTTATTTCGCGGGACAAGCAACTGAGGAATCGAGAGGGAGACGAGCTTTGTCATGGCAATTCGACGAAAATTTCGAAGATCTCTTCGCGCGATTTCAGAGAGAAAGAGAGAAAGAGTCAAGAGAGTATCCGTTTAGTCGTTTCTGATGATGAGTATCGACGAGACCCACACGACTCGACGAGTATCGCGTAACTGCCACATGATTCGCGTACCGACATTGCACCCGCCGAACGTGATGCTACGCGATGTAGCGCGTGGAACACGTGGGTCTCTCTCTCTTTCTCATATCTCTCTCTCTCTCTCTCTCTCTATTTCTCTCTGTCTCTTCCCCTCGCCTTTCTCCTACCGCCCTCGCAACGCTGTACCCCTCGTGACAATGTCGCGCTGCTCTGACGTGCGGACACGCGGTTGAAGAAGGAAGGCGGCCTACGAGCGAGCGAGCGAGAGAACGCGCGAGGGACGAGGCTTTATCGCGGGCCAATCCGAACGCTGTGACCTTGAGCCGCTTCAGAGAGAAATATATATTTAGCTCCGAACGCGCGGCGGAGCGTGTTCGGGCTCCCAACCTAGCGTTCCCTCGTTTTCTAGAGAGAGCGAGCGAGTGAGCGAGCGAGCAAGCGAGCCTTCGACTTCGTCCCGCGCGATCGATATTTATTTATTTATTTACTATGAAGAGAGACTGGAGATTATAAACCGCGCGAGTTCTCGAGTTGTTCTATGGAAAACTCTCTCTCTTCTATATTCTAGAAATATTTAATCATGAGAATCGAACGTCTGCGACCGTGATAATCTCACGACACGCGGAATATTGATGGTTTCGTTATTGATCCTTCTCGCACGCTTTCAGTTCACCGCTCTCGGCCTGCTGCAACTATCGATCTCTCTTTTTTTAGTTTGATCTTCAACGCGACGATATTATCAGAACGTGTGAAGTGACTCTTCGCGTCACCCAACTTTGTCTTCGTTGACACAGTTTAGTTTAAAATTAATTTTATTAAGAATTATATTTAGTGTAATTAAAGTTATACTATGAAATATTTCGTGCTAAATTTTCAATGCCAAATTTACGTGTCTTTCTAATCTCATAGTGTACCAATTTATTTTATATACTTAATACAACTCTCTCTCTCTCTCTCTCTCTCTCTCTCTCTCTCTCTCTCTCT